ATATATATATATATATATATATATATATATACAATCAAAAAATAAAATGAAAGGCAGCAGAAGAAGAATAAATCTTATGATATCGTCCCCTTTTTGCTCAGAATATATTGAAACAAAAGTAATTTACTAAAAACAAAGTTAAATAAAAACAACATCAACTCAAACAACATTTTGTAAAGATACACATTATGCTTTTCCATATTCCTTCAGAAAACTAACTTTTATCATTCTCTTGAATATGTACATAGATGTGGCAGTTTTAACATCATCCTTCAGACATTCCACAATCCTAATCCCTGAATTATAGTGGACTGTTCCTTCAAACTGGTACAAAACCAACGCTTCACAAACATCTCTATCACCTTGAGATAATAACCACTTTCCCTTTTAACAAAATTTACTTGGATATTAGACGGCAGTATGTTTTTGTGAGACTTATACATAAACTGTAAAATATTATAATCAACCAAGTCATAGAATTTTAATATCTTCAGTTGATAAAACAATGTATTTGATGGATGCTATAATCTTTTCTAGTGATAATTCTTACAGCTCTTTTCTATAAAATAAAAATAGGGTTTGTAATTGTTTTACATGTTTTACCCCAGACTTCAGTACAGTAAATTAAGTTTGGGACAATTATTGCATTATACAACATAAACAGTGTTTTATCATTCAGTAACTCCCTTACTTTTTACATTACTGCAATAGATTTAGATATTTTTGTTCTTAAATTATTTATTTATTATTTACTGACTCTTCAAATCTCAACACCATCGACTCTAAATGGAGCATCGAAAGTTCTCTTATTGTTACTGAATATCATGTAATTTTTTTTATCCAAATTTAATGATAATTTGTTTAGTTGAAACCAATTTTGTATTTTCACAAATTCTGTCTGTACCAACTCCAACATTCGTTCTACATCTTTACCTGAACAAAGAAATGTAGTGTCATCTGCAAATAAAACACATCCAAACAGTCCTGACACATTTACCAGGTCATTTATGTATAAAATAAATAACTTAGATCCAAGTACAGAACCTTGAGGCACTCCACATGTGATGTTACAAAGTTCAGACCTTACATCATTTATTTGAACAAACTGTTTCATTTATTCTAAAAAACTAGAGTCCCACTGTAATGCTAGCCCTCTAATACCATATTTATTTAGCTTTTCAAGAAGAATACTGTGGTCAGTAGTATCAAATGTTTTCTTTAAATCAACATAAATACTAACACAATACTTTTTTTGATTAACAGCAGTTGTTATTTGTTCAATTAATACCATGAGAGCCATTGATGTAGAATTTTTAGGTTTAAACTCATATTGACTGTTACTTAATATAATCTGTTTATCAATAAATTGATCCAATCTAATTACAAATAACTTCTTTAAAATCTTCGAAAACTGTGGCAACAAGAAGTCTGTAATTGTTAAACACACGTTCTAACCATTTTTAAAAACAGGAATTACCTTGGCTATTTTCATGTTGTTTGGAAATATTCCTGTTTAGAATGATAAACTACATTATTATACAATTATTCCAGTATATGTAAACGGCTCAATAACATAATTCTTTATATTCTTTACAAACATCATATCCATGTCCACCCAATCTTTTGATCTTTTGTCTGCAAGATTTTTTACAATATTCATTATTTCTTCTTTGTCAGTTCCATCAAGAAAAATACTGTTGGAACAGCCCGTAGTAGTTTCCTTCCCAGAAGTAGTGCTTGCATATGTACGTTTTATCTCTAATCCAGTTATAAGAAGATTGTCTTGTCTTGAAATCTGTTCCAAGTCATCTAATTTTTCTTCAAGTTCCATTATTTTTTT